CTCAAATGGCTGCGGTGTGGATCACGCCGGTAACTCTTTGAAGCTCTCGCTTGAGCTCTCGGCCCATCTCGCAGGGCCGCTCTTCGGCCTGAAGCTACGAGTACCCCCGGCACGCCCGGCACGCTAGCGACGGACGGGCCGCCGCCTGTTCAGCTCTCTGGCCGTCTCCCGGAAGCGACGGGGCTTTACCTGCACATGCCCATAGACGAACTTCGCTCCAAGATCACGGCCATGAAATGCACGGCGCCGGTCCTTGACGGCAGGGACCACCTTCTCCTTCTCCTTAAGCTCCTCCTTCTCTTTCTCTTTCTCCTCCTTCTCCTGCTCCCCTTCGGCCTTCGCTTGCCATTGCGCACAGAGACGGCTCTTTGCCGCGACTCGCAGAAAGAAAGCGCAGCCTTGGTGTCGGCGTCCAAGTTGGCCTTCGCCTCCGCCTCGACACCCTTCAGGAGGGTGCCGCCCTCCCCGCCTGCAGAGATCCAGCGGCTCAGCTGCGGCAACGCCGAGTCGCCGAGCACGGGCCTTTCGCCCAAGAGACTTCATTCAGGATCAGCCTCACTGCCTGAACCGCACAAGGCCGCAGGTCAGGGCAGAGAAGAGAAGGAGAGACCCAACCTCATCCTGCTGATCCTGCGGCCGCAGCGGGCGTCCGAGAGACATGAGTAGACTGACAAGGCCTCTCTGCTCTTTTGCGGTGTCCTTGGTGCCGATGATCTTGATGAGCCTCTCTTTGCTTCCGGCCGCCATCTCGTCCGACTTTTGGACCTGCGATAAAGCCCAGCGTGGGTTTGCATGTTCTGCGCTGCTTCGAGCCTTGATGTCCGCGCCCGACTTCTCCATGACCTCCAGACGCAGCGGCGAGGTCTGTGGTCCGTGCGCTCGCTGCCCGGAGCCACCTCCCGCACGGTTTCGCCACCGCGTCCAATGACCTGACAGCAACACTGAAGAGCTCGCTCCCGCTCACCTACTAACCCGCGCGTCAGAGCTCTGAAAAGCCCGGTGAACGCGTCCACTTTTGAAGAGGGGCCCTCGGGCATCTAGGCACTGAACCGTTGGCCCCTTAAGCCTGAAGCCTGAAACATCAGCGCAACAAAAACCGTGCATGCCGAAACTTGACTCTGAACCCTCGAAAGGGACACCCATATTGTGCCGATGAAGCCGAGGTCCCTCAGGGGTCCCTGCTCTTCCCGCTTCTCGATCTTTCACCCACAGCCTGCGACGAAGTTCTCTTGTCAGGAATCGAAAGAATCGCCGATGCAAAAAGTTCCCGGCTGGACGGGAGCTGGGAGCTCCGGTTCGTCCCCGCTCCGCTGCCTCTCGCGAGCCGAGCCAGGGGGCAGCTAGGGGGCTCAGAGCCCTCCCATTCCCCGTAGCCCCGCAGTAGCCCCGCAGGGGCCCGAGCTTTGGCCGGGGCTCATCCTTCAGGACCTCGGGAAAGCGACGCGCACGGCGCACGGCGCACGGGTTTTCTCATCGTGATTGTGCATCAGTGGGGCCGTAACCGCGGGCGGTATGGAACCGATGGCTTCACGGGTTTGGGGCTCGGTTCTGGGTCCTTCCGAGATGTCTCGACTCGGAGTCCACGGGCGATTCGAGGCTTGGGAAAAGGCAAACTCGATGCACCTGACAGGATGCCCGAGCAGCATCACAGCCTGCAAGTTTTGATGGGAGACTGCAAAGACATCCAGGACATCCACTGGTCCAGACACTGTCCAGCGTCCGCAACAGCAGAGACACCGCTCTCAACGGGTGAAACGATGGGCAGTGGAGCCGAATGAAATCGCATGAGCAAACATACAATCGTAGCTGGAGCACCGGAATACAGGCTGCAAGACAAAATTATGCCAGCATAGATTCGCGCAAATCCCCCAGCACCGCAGCGACCACGACGACTGGGACCGCCTAACAGGCCACCATGAGACCAACGAGAGACCACCAGCGGACCACCAGAAATCCACCGCGAGACCGCCCAGAGACCAGCAGTCAAGCGAAATTCAAGAGCACGTCCAACATGCTTCGGATTCAGAGATTTCGAGGCCGGATGGCCCAGAGAATGATACAAGACGCGATCCTCCTGGGCCTGGGCCTCACAAGACTCTGCGACACTGCGCTGAGGTTGCGGCCGTGCCATCCTCGGACTGGGCCCAGTGGACTTCGGCCAAGAGGAGCTCCACGGCCTTCTCCTCGAAAGAGCCAGGAACAAGGGATTGGGGAGGGGGATTGGGGGGGATTGGGGTCGGCGCGCCTGCTCCTCAGCGCTGCCGAAGATCTCCACCTTCCCTTGGGCCTGCAGATTTGCAAGAGGGGCCCAGGGGCCCAGGGGCCAGAAGCCCGCTCCCTTCTGGGCCTTGTCCAGCTCTACTTTGGCCCCCGACTCCTCATGCGCCAAGGCCGAGGCACCGAGGCACTGAAGAGTCTCCGACGCCCTCCCGCCCCTCCCTCACGGCTCTACGGGCTGGGCGCCTTCTCGATGATTCGGACCGTCTCGCCTTTCCTCTCGATTCAGGCCAGGTGAGGCTCAGCACGCGCTCGAGCACAAAGTAACTGATGCGATGCTTCGCAGGCCGTGGAGGCCTGCCGAGCACTTTGCCAACTTCCTCGGCCAGCACCTGGAAATTTCCCCGCATCCTTCCTTCCCCACCCGATCCTCGAGAGCTCGGGCTCAGGCCGTCAGGATGCGATGGCTCCCCTTCGTGCCCTGCCCCCACCATGCACTCATGCTGCCCGCGCGAAGGCGTGCCTCTCCGCAACAAGCAGCTCCTCGTCTTCGCGGAGGGGCGCCGTTCGCGAGTCCTGCGCGCCGCCGGCGCGCGCCGCACCGCGCGCTGCAGAAAGCCCGTGCGGAGAGCGTGAGCGCAGCGGGCCTTCAGAACTCGGCCACCGTCTTGGCGGCCTCGGTGCTGCCACTTTGCAGTGCCCACTTCGCTTCCCGCGGTTTTGTCTCGGCAGCGCACAGTACAGCACCACGTCCAGGATGTAGTCCACAGCCTGACACTGCGTCCTCCCTTGGCCTTGCTAGGTGAGGCCCCCGAGGCCCCTGCCGTGTCCTGGCCATGCCGAGATCCAAGAATGTCAACGGACCGCTCCTGGCTCAAGACGGAACCTTCTCCACAAAAAAATCTCAGAACCTAAGTTGTTGCGACGGCTTCAAAAAGGGGAGGGTTTCTGCTCAGAAAAACCATCGCAACGCCTTCTCGGGTTTTCCGCCTCTCGTGCTGCGGCACTTGCCAGCGAAGTCTAAGCTTTGAGTTCTGGAATTGTTCTGGAATTGCCTTGCACCTGGTTACCCCTACCGCAAACATCGCAGCAGTGGCTCTTAAGGCGGCATGCCTCTCCACAGGAATCGAGTCACCAATTATGATGTAACCCGTCCACTTACGGCATGTTCGGGAGCAACCCGTCTCGGCCTTGGTATCCGGATTCATGTCCTCTTCTCTGGACACTTTGATTCTGGTGCGAGTCCTGAGAAGTCGAGCCGTGGGACAGACATTGTGCTCAGCTTGTCGGTCCTGTTCTCGATCTCCCGAAGGGCTCGCCCTCCTCTGCCGATGACTTTGGCAGCATCGCTGTGGAGGATCCAGACCCTGGCCTCGGTCTCCTCCTGCCCAAACCACACTCCGAGTCAAAGCCTTTCTTAGGAGAGCGGGGTGGTCCTCGGAGTCATGTCGACGTCCGAGCGGTATGGCCTTGGTCGCACGAAGGAGCCCAGGAGAAAGCTGGACTGACACTGACACTTGGACTGCTACGTTCACCCCCGTGTTCGGAGGCGACCTGCACCAAAAATAAAGGCTGTCATCACGCGCTCGTGCCGAAATCGAATCCATCACAGTGCCGCGGCCTAGCGCGGCTGTCGAAATCTGCCTCAGGCTCTACGAAGAAGGAGCACGAACGGACCGAGCAACCACACGCCCAGCTCTTGCGGGGCATGTGAGCTGGCTTTGAGGTTGAGGGTGTAGGGTTCACACTTCTAACGTTCCTACGCTGCTACAAGGCGCCCCGCCTGAGAGTCAAAACTATCGTCCCGAAAGGCATCGCGTCGGTGGCGGCCCTCTGTGCAGAAGGGGGGTTGTTGGGACGGACGAAGCCGCGAGTGCTACGGGTGTCCGCGCTTTCCTGCCTGGCCGTGGCCGTGGCCTCGCCGCCTCCGCCTCCGAGCAGGGGGAGACCTGCGCTAAGCCGCGAAGGTCCGTGCTTTGACACTCGGACAAGCGGAGCAAAGCCCCCCGGCCCCCGGGCGATGCCCCGAGGATGCAACAGTGCCTGTACACCGGCGACATCGACGGGGGCCGCCTTCTGAGTCGCGCTCGGGTCCGTCCTTCCGTCAAAACAAAAGGCCAAAATGCCTCAAAAAATTGGGTGGGGTTCCTTCATCTTCTGGATACCTCCTGCTCCGCGACCGGCGCATGCCCGGGCTCAGCAGTTTCAGGTATGGTAAGCTAACCAAGAACCAAGCTCATCGATGGGTGCGGATGACATTTGTTCCACATTGCATTGCTGGGAGTTTTGGAATGGCTTTAATCCTCCACAAATTCCTAGACTTCGAGATGAATGCCACTTGCGAGCAGTCCACAAACAGGCAACACAGCAAAAACTGCGCAGCTCAAAATGCGTGCCGAATGTCATTGGCCTGCATCTGCTGTTCTTTGCCACGGAACCGGTGCCGCTGACAGCTATGCCCCGCCCAGAAAGCAAATGACGTCTTTCTCGTCCAGCAACGATGTTCCCACTTGCTAGTACACCGAACCCTCTGGCCTCAAAGCTAACTGAACCGTTTCTCTGGTCTTTTTGCAGGTTCAAATATTTTCCAAGAAGTGTGCCGGAAACGCATTTATTTTTCAGCAACCAAAAGTAATCGAAAATTGCGCGTTCCCAATCTGAGGTACATTCAATCTCCAATCGTAGATGCAAGCTCTCGGACTTCGAATCTTTTTCTCGTGCAACGGAGGTAATATCATCGGGGCGAGATGGCGAAGAACGCAAAATCAGCCCGCAGGCAAGTGCAGCTTGAATCAAGCAACCATCATCCCCCCAATCTCTCAAAAGCCGTATTGAATCCACGTCGGGCGAGTGGGCGGTTGAAAAATTTTCAGCTCAGGTGATTCAGTCTTGAGCAAGTTTCCACAGGCGCGAGACATGCTTCAAAATCGTACATGTGAAACGCTAGTGAAAACAATCGTTCATGAGTGATGTGAAATCAACATCAAATCGAGCTTACAAGACCGCGAAATTGATTAAATCATTTTTGTTCACGCAAATTTTCTAAACGACGACACACGAAACAGCAAGTTCGCCTCGTCTTCGATTCCGGTAGACTCGACCAGGATAAACTTCATTGCGCTACGCTCCGTGGCCTTTCAAGCTGAAATGCTCCCCAACATTTACGTGGCAGACGAAATATGTTTCAGTAACCAAACATATTGCAAAAAACTTCTTATTTCCTATTCCACAAACGTGCAAAACAAAATCGAGATATGATATATCTGCTTCGATCAAATGTAGTATTCCAGACAAATTGAATCAATCAATATCTTGAACATTTCGTAAACTGCTCGCTCACCAACACGCACTCTTTTATTCTTGATATTGCACAATGCCGTGGGGTTTCTCGAGAAAAGTTCAATGTCAGAAAATGACATCGCCACAAGGTCACACCTCCAAGATGTGGCTCGAGGGCCGAAGGTCAATAGGTACACAAGTGCACCCGTCATCACCCCGGGCGGGCGGGTGGGTCAAAAGTTCTATCGCATGCTCTCAGCTCTCTTGGGCATGCGATGCTGAAAGTTTTAAACCAAACTTTAAGGTTCCCTTGAATCACCGGATCGCTCTTTCCACTTTTCACCGGACGGCGCGTGGCAGTCTGGGGTCTCCTTGAGCCTACATATAGCGGAGTGAAACAGTCTCCAACATGTCCAGAATAGGGACACATAGGAAAATGAAATGTTTGTTACGCCCTCTTCGATTCAAGTCGGGTTGACTTGATTCGAACTTCAAACATTTTCTACAGTCCACTTCGCATTTGTCGCACGCTCCTTCGAGCTTCATCTTCAAACTTTTCGCATGCTCCTTCGAACTTCATTTCCATATCTTCGTCTTCACTTCTTCCTGCTGTGGTCCTGTAAAGAAGCGTGAAACATAAGTCGCATTGCACTCACTGCCGAAATCTAAATAAAGCTACGCCCTCTGCGAATGCAGTTGCGCTTACTTTTTCTAGAGGTCGCGGTACGGCGTGTGGTCGCGACTCCAGCCTCTTCGGCATTTCGGAGTGCTTTCGTACGCTTTGGGAGTATACAACTCCAACCAGCATCGTTGTGCATTTCGTAGCGTGGCCACTCAGGCCTGCTTTTGTCACATGGCATTCAGCCATTTGCGCTCACTGTGAAACTTACACCTTTTCTCGGTGTTTCGAATTTCCGACCCTTGTTTATCACAAGTAGGAAGGGGGCTTTTGGCTCAATTAATTTGCTGCGAAAAATGAAGCATTTGTTTTGCAAAGACTCACATGTTATTAACGCGTCATAACACGTTAATAACGCGTCACAACATGCTAACAACACGTTAACGCGTCATAACACGTTAATAACGCGTCACAACATGCTAACAACACGTTAATGCTGCATACGTGGTCACTATACGGTCACTACGGTCACTACGCGGTCGCTACGCGGTCACTACGCGGTCACTACGCCTCTCTCTGGGGAGGGTGTTGTCAGCTCCCACTCCGTGATAGCTACAGGCCCATGTTCGAGACATAGGTCAGAATTCGTTACTTTTGGGCACTGACGATCTGCGGGCCTACGGCCCGCTGCTCCCACGATCGTAGGGGCTCTAAAGTCTTTGCAAAACGGGATTTAGAGGTGCTTTAAGGGGGCGCG